GGGGGGATTTATGTGCCCACAGCAGGCATGGGACTGCAGCCTGCCCAGACTGGCATGGACAGGGTGATGAGACTCATCGCTGCTACTGCTGCTGCCAGGATGCCTGAGCCAGCTGTGCCACCAGCAGCACAAGGACTAATGAATGGAGGGAGCTGCGCTGCCCTCACCTCCTCCTGCCACTAGCTGCTTGCACACCAGGCCACAACTCTACCCTGCCACCATGGCCTACCTGCCACCACTACTGCTGCTCCCCTCAGACCACCTGCTCTTTCCACAGCCCTACCTACCCTCTGGGGTACAGCCATAGCTTGAGGGGAGCAGCAGCAGTTGCGATGGAAGCATCCAGGGCATGGCAGCAGGGTAGAGCTGCAGTTGGGTGTATGGGACGAAGTGAGGACATGGCTCGCCCCACCCATTACTCCTCCTGCCTGGCTGCCACATGCATGTGTACGCACACCCATGCATGTGGTGGCCCCTTCCTGATCGCTCTCCTCCTGGCCCCCAGCCTCAAGCATCCCCTTGTAGCCTAGAATTCTGCCAGCCTGAAAGGCTACTATTTTCTCCTTTAAAGGAGAAAATCCACATTTTCCCATGATAAATAGAAAACCCAGATCCCTGTTTATTAGTATGCACAATATTAACATATGGTGAAGCACAAGCAGCATCTATTTTTTTTAAAATGTATGCAAAATAGATCTATTTTTAAAGTTTGTTCATGACCCTTTTATATATTCTTGCAACCCACTTTTTGGGTCGCAACCCACAGGTTGAGAATTCTGGTCTACATATTTCCTTTACATAAGGATGAAAATTGAGGAAGGTACAATAGCCTCGAGTGAGCAGCTCCTACATTTCTCTTTCTGCAGCTGGTGGCCAGGTTGCTTTTATATTTTAGCAAGCTCTTGTTTTTATTGGCAAATAGTACAATGTGGAGCAGTTTTATGGACCAGTCTGATGTGTAGTGGCCTAGGACTGATTAAAGGATATGGAAAGTTAATGTAAAGCCAACTCTGCAATGTGTACACAAACAAGCTGCTACACTCCTGGGGGTAGCCACATAAGCTAAACCTGCCTCCCAACCGTTCTTCTTTCTCATGCAATGAAGTATGAAAACATATAGTCATTTTAGTGTCTTTGGGACTATTTAAAAGAAAAGGCCCTGTTTCTCCCTTGCATTGTAACTTCTGGAGTTATTTGCTCTGAGATCTAAGGAATGAAAAGTCAGTATAAAATGCTTTAGAAACAGAAGGGTGGCTGGAACTTTTGGAATAGAAATGATTTTTTAAGGAGAACTAGCATTATATAACCACTTTGGGCATGTTTTTGGAGAGAAATGACTGTGTAAGGCAGTGAAAAAAAATCAAGCCCCAAAGTGCCAAGCTTTGTTGCAGGATTCATAGATGGAGCTGCTATTGATATCCTGCACATCTGAGTGGGACCTGACTACTAAGAAACAGAAGAAAACGCTTCACTAAATGACTTGAATTAATTTTATATTTAAGATTTATACCCAGTACAAGAGACAAATATGTATGCTAACATAATGAAATAAGCTGGTTAATGAAGCAACATTTAGACTGATTTTGGCAAGAACAGTCTCAGGGATAAAGCAGTTAGTACAAATCAATCTAATCCTGGTCTGAGCTGTCCCTCTGGTTTCTTCTGGCCCACAGTAGATCTTTGCAGGATGACTTGGATTATTTTCCTTAGACCTTTGTTGGCTATTTTCAAGTCTGCTACAAGATAGGGCCAAGTTAGTAGGTGCTAAGCCAGAGCCCATATGTTTTTTCTAGGAAGTAGAAGGCAGGTGTCATCTTCTGGATGGTTGCTTGGTAAATGGAACAGGTTTTTTTTACTATATTGTGTATTTTGTGGTGAATGAATGGAGGTGTGGGAGATGGAGCTGTTTTTAACGTCAGCCTTGAAAGGTCCACACAAAAACCTATTGAAGAAATCAACACCATATCATTAGCAGGCATGATACAGTGATTGGCTATGTACCACAGTAATGCATGATGTTACAGAAGAAGAAAGAAGCACTTAGTTTACTCAGCTCAGTGTTCAGAAAGTATTCAAATTTAGAGAACTAGATGTAGACTCAAGTTGTACATAGCTCCTGTGCTGGCCTTCTGCATAGGGGCGACCTTTACCAAAGAAGAACATCCTACTGCATTCCTTGCTTTCTTGAAGATTCCCTAGAAGATCAGACCATGCCAGGAAAATAACACAAACCCCACACCTAAAAGTATGCTTTTACATTGACTGGTTATGCTAATCAAGTTTTTAAGAATTAAACATTCTGGGGCTGATCCTGATCTCACTTGTATCGCTATCAAGTAGGTATAATTCCACTGGAGTTGCACTGGCATGAACTGGTTTGTGATCAAAATTGGGCCTCTTGTTGAGTTTCCTCTGAGATATATTAAATGAAAATTAAGCTAGATGAAAACTCTTGAAATTGTCTGACACCAAGCCCAATAATAAAAATTGGGCACCTTTCATCTGAGGATCTACAGCCTTTATAGTGAATCAGTTAATTAAGACCATCTCACAACACCTCTGCCAGGCATATGCAGTAGTATATGCATTTTAGAGATGGTGATACCAACAGAGAGGGGTTAAAAAACTTATTCCAAAATCATACAGTGATGAAGTAGCAATTTTGAAGCATAGAAGCCATGAATCCCAATTCACCTCTTCAGTTACTAGATTCACTCGAGCAAATACAGACAGATTCCAGTGAAGTCATGCAGTATCTCATATAGTTGGCTCTGTGCATGGCACAACTTTTTGGCAAGGCAGCTAACACCTGCACTATGGCAAGCCAGGAAATGCCAAATTTAATTTAGAACTGTGGTCCAGAACCTCAACCGAGATAAATGTAGTGAAATCCCATTAACTTCACAATGTTGTTTTAACATTAAAGAGGGAGCTGGGATAAAAGGATTTATCACAACTTAACAATTATTCAAGGCCAGGTAAGATTTTAGAAAATTAGGTTGATCTAAGTGGCACTACACCCTTTAAAAGGAACACCTGAGAATGCTGATGTTAACTGACCTTCTGTCTTACAGATCATTACAAGAATTATCCTAAAGAGAAAACAACATATAACTACGACCACTGTTATAACCACATTGTTATAACCACAGCCATATGCATTGTTAACAAGACTGAATTGCCACTTGAGGAAAAGATAGTGAGCCTATCTGGATATGTTACGAGTACCAATAGGCTATACTATGAGTCAAACAAAATGATAACATATAACAGTATATGCTTCTAAAAGAAACGAGGCAATCAGGACTCATAGTACAGATGATATTTTTTATTAGACCAACAAGATTTTTGCAAAAAAAAAAAAAGTCCTTAATTGCAAGCTTTTGGACACAAACACATTTCATCAGGCCTTGGAGAAAAGATTGTAGAAGTTCCACTGGGTAGAAATGAAAGTTCATATTTCATAGGATTTCACATGGGAGTCAATAGATGGAAAACTCCCTTGGGCTGTCAGTTCATAGCTAGTATGGAGCTCTGAACTGGATACCCTCTAAAAGAAACAGGCTTTTTTATTGGCAATTGTTTTCTCAGGCTTAAATAATCATGAAAATAAGGACTTAGTTACAAATGGCTACAAACATTTATTTTATTTTATTTTACAAACTGGTTATAGGTGGTTACAAACTTTGATAAACCTGTGATAAAAATCCTCTGGGCAGTCAGTTCATAGCTGGTATGGAGCTATGAACTTGGATACCCTCTAAAAGAAACAGGCTTTTTATTTGCAATTGTTTTCTCAAGCTTAAATAATCATGCAAATAAGGAACTGGTTACAGGTGGCTACAAACTTTTATACATTAGGCTGCATATACAACTTATTTAAATATCCGAAGAGACAAAGAAGCATTTAGTTAGTTATAAGCTACATTGATCCCTGGCACTCAGGAAATTCTGGTCTTGGTTTTGGTTATTAAAGTGAGGTGACAGGAGTCAGCCTGGAGTAACTTCATGGACTCCATAGGCTTTCTCCCACTTGCTTTCCAACCTCCAGACCTTACTTGTCTACTGGGATCAGTCCTTTCATCTTGTTGCTATGGCTCCTCTTCCCATTCCTACCTCATTGCCCCTTTTCACACTGCTTCCTATATCTGGATTAACATTGTGGTTTTTTCCCTTCAGGCCAAGGAATTTAAAAGCTTCTCATTCAAAGCTTTCCACAAAATCCATTTCCTATGCCTTGTGTTCATTCTGTATTTCCAAACCGTGGATGACTTTCTGGTTCTACTGAAATCAATTGCAAAACTCTCACTGACCTCATTGGGACCAGCACTTCATGTCATATGCCTAGATCTGTCTACACTGTAAATTCTTTGAGGCAGACGCTCCAAGTCAGATTTTCAAAAAAGTTCAGGCCCCAGATACGCCCACTGGGATGCCTCTTGATGGATTTTCAATAGAACTGAGCACCCAGCTATTTAAAATTATCCTAGTGGCCAATTCCAAAGTTTTGCCATAAACTGATAGTTTGTTATCATTATTATTTATTTAAAAAGCAAGATCATAATCTGACCTATCATATATAAATTATTTTTTTCCATTCATAACACCCCTACAAAGTAGAAAAGTGTTGTTACTCCCTAATTTACAAATGGGGAATTGAAGCACAGAGCAATTAAAGCAAGCATTTTCAAACTGCTTTGCCTAAAACAAGGCACCTGAAGGAATTTGATCTTCAGAGGTGCCACCACTTCCATTGATTTGACCATCTCCAAACTCAAGCCTGGTATTGCAGATTTCCTTAATTTCTGGAGATCTTATTTTAGAAAGCTCAGCTAAATTTATGAAGACATCAATGTATACTGTTTCCACTTACTGATCAAGCACTGGCTGAGTGCTAAGGGTACAAACTTGTTCTATTTCTGTAGTTTCTGGCAGTTTGAGGGTCTGTCCCCTCTGTTCTAAAATTCTTGTTGAACTTTCATTGTTGTTATCTTTCATGGGATCTTCAAAACATCCCGATGTTTTGAACATTTTTTGAACATTTTTTTAATCTATTTTGAAGCGTCGGACTTGAAAAGCAATAAAGAACAGTATCTAGTGCACTGTTCAGGAACTTAAAGGCAAAGGAGGCATGGAATAACTAGCTCATAGCTTTATAAGTGAGACTCTGAGGGCTTACTTTCCAAACAATGAAACCAACTAAAGCAAACAAAATAACAGGCGAGAAGCAGACACCATATACCAAAACAATGATCATTAACAATCTCATAGTTCTTTGGATGCTCTTCCCTCTAGCCATTTTCTTCTGCTTTGGCTTAAAGAGAACACAGAAAATACAGAAAAAGATGATGCCTAAGGATATAAAAAATTCAATAAAAATTAACATCCTATGCCAGTGGTCCACCAGTGAAGTGTCTGTCTTAGGGTCATCATAACTTTGACATGTAGTATTATCCTGTACAACAGGCAAGGTAAAGATATGGATGTTCAGCAGTATACGTAAGATCCAAAGCAAAGTTGCTATTTTTGCAGCACAGGTATTGATAGTTTACTCAGCTGATGGTGAGGATGAACCACTTTAAAATAGCGATCTACTGCAATAGCTGTAAGAAATACAATATTTGCTGTTCTGTTCATTGATAACATGAACAAATTGACCTGACAAAATCTTTTTGAGAAGGTCCAGACTTCGTTCCTGGTATAGTAGTGCATATGAAATGGTAAACTGGCTACTAGGAAGAAATCAGTGACAACTAAGCTGAGTAAATACATGGTGCTTGATTTCCAGAAATTCCTGTTAAAGCAAAAGATGACCAAAACAATGCCATTTCCAATAATTCCCATAACATATTCTATGCCAAGCATGGGGACAAGGATTTTTGAAACTGTATCATGGACTGTAGGTGTGTTATTCATTGCTACGATCCTGGAGCTCTTCCTATTTTCTTTTTAAAATATCTGTTGCCTACAGTTGGATGGCAACTTGAGATGCTTTGCAGTCCTTGCCAAGAATCTGTGAAGTGAGCTGCAGAGGAAATACAGTGAAATTTCAAGGCTTGGTATATTTGTTTGTATGCAAACTGTGAGTCAATCTCAACATAACACATGAGTCTTTCATGAATCCCTTTGCAACAGTTGCAAGATAATAATCTTATCAGTGGACTGTGAAATACTCCCAGGTTGCCAGTAAAGGCTGTTGGTTGTAGCCTTGATGGGCTAAGGACACAGGCAGACAAGGTTCTTTGCGTAAATGTGACATCTTTTATTAGACCAACTAAATAGTGGGAAAAATTGTTCTTTGCAAGCTTTTGGGAACAAACACCCTTCTTCAGGCATAGGGAGAGTCTTGTGGTGTTTTATGTGCTCTTCTGGGTGGAATGGAAGCCAATAGGCAAAATTCAGGTCTGTGAAAATGCAAACGTGGCAGTTGAGAATTTGAGGGAATGGGAGAGAGTCATACCTATTGTTTCCTATTCCCTTTGATCTTCACTGCCACACATTTGCATTTTCACAGACCTGCATTTTGTGTATTGGCTTCCATTCCACCCAGGACAGCACACAAAACACCACCAGATTCTCTCCATGACTGAAGAAGGGTGTTTGTGCCTGAAAGCTTGCAAAGAACTTTTTTCTCAACTATTTAGCCAGGTTGCCAGTAAAGCATTGTCATAGCATATCTGATAGAGCTGTTCTAGGACTAAAGAAATTTAGACTGTATACTTGAAGTTTAGCTTGCTCTCTTTTCCCTGCTTCTCACCCCTTCTACTTGCCCTTCATCCCCTAGGAACAAGACTAGAAGGCCAACTGCTCCCTTTGCTCAGGACTCCAAGCCAAATGCCTGTATGTACCTTAGTAGTTTGATCCTAGTATTTCTTGCATGTGATTTGGCAAGAGAAACAAAGGAATTGCTCAGCTGGCTCAGACCAGTCATCCATCATACTCATGTTCTATCTTGTCAGAGACATTGTTGAGGGCATTGGCAGCTGCTTTGGAGGAGAATGCAAGAACCCTGCAAATAGCAGGCTTCTTAGGGTGAAAGATACCTATCCCCTTTCAGCTATTGGTTGGTTTATGGCCTGAAGTATGGGAATGTATGAACCTTCTATAACTCTTTTTAAAATCCTTACAGGTGTAATATTGTGTAAACTTGCTGCTCAGACATCAAATGCTTTGCAGAATCCTGGTGAGCCCCTGACCTCAAAGATATCTTCTGGCAATGCGTTCCTAACTAGTTCCTGCATTAAAGTTGGCCAGAAAGAAGTATTTCTGTTCCACAAGGAATTCTGAAATGAAAAATAATCAGTCTGAAATGGAACACCAGATGAAACTGTCTGTAACATGGGAATTTTAAATTAAAAAAAATTGAAATAGACATGTAATTTTCATCTTTCTGATGCCTCTAGGTGGGATCCTGGCAAATGCAGCTTCAAAGAAACCTTGGGAGCCCTGAAAATCCCAACTCCGTGATTGTCTGGTGGCAAGGACCTTGAAAGTCCATATGCTGCTACAGAGTTGGCAATCTGAAAGATGTGGGAGCTCAGACTAACCTAGAGTTAAGAGACTGGAAGCCTCGACCCCAAAGCCTCCCTCCAGGAGGATTGGTATACTGCTGGGACAGGGAATTGGCAAGTTTTATCAAAACTGTTTCTTTTTTTCTCCTGATTTGTGCCTCTTGAGTCAACAAATTAGAGCTCACACCACAATACGGAACAGTGCTTGCTCCTGTGAATTGTGACTCTGAAGCTTTGTTGATTATTGTGTTTCTTGGTGCAGTACCTACTGAATATTTTGCTGGTGCACAACACAGAAATTTGGAATGGAAATCTTCAGTGAAATTTCAGTTTTACTGTATTTTATTTTGGGAGTGGATCTGATGTTGATGCACAGCATTCCCCAATAGAAAAAAATTGCACTCAAAGACTTCCAAGCAGCAATAATATGTATTCTGTAAGCCTCTGACCATAGAACTCAGGCTTGTACTCCACAAACACAACTTGCATTTTCTTTAAAAAAAAGTGGCTATGGTCCTTAGATTTATACTTTAAAAAAGGGTAAATAAAAGACTTTGAAATGAGTATAAAACTGTTGAACTATTGATTTTTCAAGTGTGCAGACATCCTGGAACAAGAGCTCTGAGAGGTGAGAACTCCCTTTTTCCTTTCCATTTCCTGTGCTATGAACACACAATTTCAGTGTCAGTGCTATTGCTTATTTAACTGCTGAACATTTTACTACATAATTTGTCATCTTTCACTAATCAGTGAATTCAGAACCGATGTTTGCTTTGCCCCCTGTTTCTTTCAGAAGCTGTAAACCCCCCCGGCCCCCTAACCCAAGATACTACTTTTTATTTTTTGCAGTGTGTGGTCATAAAAGAGTCTATGGCACTTTGGAAAAAGGAGGTCATGTAAGAGCTTTTAGCCAACACTTTACCCTTTGTTTTGCTATGCCGTGTGTTGCTTGACATTTGGGTTCTTTCTACAACCCAGAAATAGCTGCATTTCAGTGCTGCTGCATGTATTTAATTTGTTAAGTTGTTTTGAGGCCCATCAAAATGAAAATGCCATATAAGATAGTAGTAACAGAAATAACACATAAAACCAAACAGTTCCTACAGTAGGGCTGATATCTAAATCTTTGTGTCTTTGTGCCTTTTGCTCTGGTCATATACCTCAAGACCTACAAAAGTTAATTGCTAGTAGGGAGGATTGATTGTAGAGAAGTTCTTTCACATGGGCTGCAGAATGGGGTGGGCCACCCGGGCCATGGCCCAACCAACTTTTAGCACATTAATTTACCTAGCTATGCAGTTAAAAAATACCTATACAGTTTTAACTGGAATGACAATTGAGCATTTGTAGGTTATATAAATTAACGTGCTAAAAGTTGGTCAGGCAATGGGCCACCCCATTCCATGCTCTATGTTTCATCAACTTGAAAGAGCTTATCTAGTCAAACCAGACAGTTTAAAGGGAAGTTTGTTTCTTTTTTCCTCTTTTTTAAAATTTAACATTAGCACATACTGGGTGTGGCAAAGTAATTTCTGGTCAACTTAGTCAATGGATTTCAACCAGGAATGAATTTGACTCATTCTGAATTTCTACAGTATCCCTCTAAAAAAATGGGATCCCAATATTTCCATTTCCAATTGCACTGGCTTAATGTTGGGCTAATGAAGTACATACAGCTATAATAGACCAAAACGTGTGATTGATGCATATTAAATGTGGTGGAAGAAGTTACAAATTCAGACCTGGGTGCAGTATATTTCATAACTTGACTACTGAAGCTTTATTATTTTAAGTGGAAAAATAATGTAATAAAATATATTTGTTACCCATGACATGTTGCAGGCATTGAGCCAGGACAGATTCCTGCTGTTTCTGATTTCCGTTCAAAATTCTTAGAAAATGTTGAGGTAAAAGTACACTTGTCTGAACTGCTAAAAAGAACAGTTAATTTGCAACGTTAAAACACAGTTAATTCTATTGCATTTACATGCCTCTCCTTGATTATTATAAATAAAGAAGTGTTCCTAATTGACATTAGAAATGATAGAAGGTAATAGAGAGCACTGATTAAGAAGAATAAGAAGAATAATACTTAGTGCATGAACCTGGATGGTAGATATTGCATGATAAATTGCCTTTTTCACTGAAATATATTTGGCTATGTGAGAGAGTCACAAATACCCAACTGAGTATGACAAAGCTTTATCATCTAAAACCATGGTTGGTTAAAATATGGCCTGCAGACCAGGTCTAGCCTGTAGAGGGACTTTGTCTGGCCTGCAGCAGATCCCTCAGTCCCTCCTGGCCCAGGTGCTATGCAGCCCATGGCACATCTCACCACCCACAGGCACACATCAAGGCTAGGGCGGCTCCATGGCTGGACTCCATTTCTAGGCAGCCCAGGTAATGGAGGCTCCTTACAGCTGCCACCACCACTACCAGTCATGGCCCCATGGAGACGGCTGATGATCCACATGCACAGCCCCAGCCTGGGCCCAACCCACCCTGCATCTGCTCCGGACCTGCCCTGACCAGAACAGATCAATTCTGGACTAGCCAGAAGCCACGTGCACTGCCTTGGCCCTGCGCTGCCCCATGCCTGCTCCAGACCTACCCGCCCACAATGAACAGTGGTGATGGTGGCTAGGCAGAAGCTACTGCTGGGCAATGGAGGAATAGCACTACCTCCCCCTTGCTGCTGCCAGTACCTTCTTGCTGTTGTCACCCAGAGTCCGTGCCTGGGCTGTTCTGCAGCTCCACTCTGCCTCCTTTACCACCACCACCACCAACACTGCCTCCAAGCCATCCAGCAGGACAGCAGTAGCAGTGGAGAGGAGCTGCAGGTGCAAGTTGGGCCAGGGTCGGGGCTGGGGTCAGGGCTGGGGCCAGGGCTGTGTGTGGGAGTCTCAGCTGGTCTGGATCTTGTCTGCTGCAGCTGGAGTGAGTCTGGAGCAGGTGTGGGGCAGGCTGGGGTTGAGGCTGTGTGCTCAACTGCTGCTGTGTGCTGGTGGCAGCAGCAGCAGTGGGGAGGAACCACAGGGTTCCCGGGTTCCGGTTTTGGTAAGTTGTTGTAGGGTAGGGGGTGCTGACCGGCCTACCACAGCACCCCCAAACTGTCTATGTGGCCCATGGGCCCAAATAATTGTCCATCCTTCATCTAAAAGGTCATTACATTCATTGTACACTTCTAATATTTATCAAGGAAATAAAATCATTCTTCCTCATACTGAAGGTTAAAATGGTCTATCATTTCTGGGATCTCCTTAAAAGGTAGGTATATGATGGCAGGTGAAAAGTCTACATCGCTAGAAGGGAACCTCTTCTAGAATTCATGGTGCTCAGGAGAGGTCCCAGAAGACTAGAAGAGGGCCAGTGTTGTGCCCACCTTCAAGAAGGGGAGGAGAGAGGACCTAGGGAACTACAGGCTGATCAGCCTGACCTCAATCTCAGGAAAAATCCTCAAAAAATTTCTCAGGGAGTCCATATGCAATATGCTGGTCGAAGGCAAAGTTCTGAATGATAGCCGGAACGGTTTTGTCACAGGAAGGTCATGTCTGACTGGCCGTGTCCTTCTGCGACCAGGTTACTCACCACCTGGATAAAGGAGATGAGGTCAATGGCATTTACTTGGACTTTAGGAAGGCCTTTGACTTGGTGTCCCATGAGGGAGTGAAAAGCACATTCACAAAGTTCGCCAATGACACTAAGCTTTGAGGAAGTGCGGCCATGTATCAGGGTAGGCTGACAATCCAGGCAGACCTAGACAGATTAGTTAAATGGGCGGACCAGAACCAGATGCTGTTCAACACTGAGAAGTGTAAAGTGCTCCATCTGGGGAGGAAAAATCCGCAACAAACTTACAGGCTTGGTGGTGCTAGCTAGCACTACATCTGAAAGGGACCTGGGGTTCGTAATTGACCATAAAATGAATATGAGCCACCAGTGCGATGCTACAGTTAGCAGAGTAAACAGTATGCTGGCATGCATCAATGGATGCATCTCAAGCAAAACTAAGGAAGGTATTCTCCCGCTCTACTCCACATTGGTGAGACCACAGCTGGAGTACTGCATCCAGTTCTGGCGAGGATGGACAGATCCTGCCACACTTCAAAAAGGATGTGGAAAACTTGAGAGAGTCCAGAGAAAAGCCATTCGTATGATTAGAGGCCTGAAGAGCAAGCCATACAAAGAAAGGCTGACAGATATGGGACTGTTCAGCCTAGAAAAGAGAAGACTTCAGGGGAATTTGGTGGCAGCTTACAAATATATCAGGGGTGAACATCAGGGGCTAAGCAAAAAACTATTCACCAAAGCACCCTAGGGAAAAATCAGGAGCAATGGTCATAAACTCCTAGAAGAAGTTTAAGACTAGATATAAGGAAAAACTTCTTCATGGTTCATGTGACCACACTCTGGAATAGATTCCCTGCAGGCCTACTCTGGAGATCTTCAAAAGGAGACTGAACACACACCTTGCTGGGGTTGTTTGACCCCAGCAGTCTTTCCTGCCCAGTGCAGGGGGGCTGGACCTGATGATCTCACAAGGCCCCTTCCAGCCCTAAACTTCTGTGAATTTGTGAGAAAGACCTTTGAAGTTATAAGCATCATAGCTAAGATTCTGTGTGGGGTGTGCCAAAGGCTGTAGAATGAAGCCAAGCACTGTTTCCCATCCTTTAGGAGGAGAAGTGGGGAGCATAGGAGTTCCCTGATGTCAGAATTCCTGAGCAATAGGAGGATGGAAGTTCTTTCCTATTTTGTTTGTTTGGGCACGAAGTGATACAGCATGTCTTAGCAGTGACCCAGCTGACCCGGGCAGGTTGCCTTATTAGTCTGAAAAGATTAATTAGGAATTAGAGTAACCTGAAAGACAGACTTGTTTGTTGTCATGGTGGCAGCAGAAGAGCTTATCTCAAGAGGAGCTTCTAAACTAGGACAGTGAATGCTATAAACTTGGAATTTAAAATCTGATTTTTATTAGTGTTGTTAACCCTTTCAGCAACATTGTAGCTGTGGACTGTGCCCTCTGAGGCAATACATTAGGGCTGACTCCACACACAGCATTTGCTCCTGTGAACTGTGATGATGAAGCTTTGCTGATTCTTGTGTTTCTCTGTGCAATATTTACTAAATATTTTGCTAGAGAATAGCACAGATGTTTGGAATGGAAATCTTCAGTGAGCTTTCAGTTTTACTATATATTATTCAGGAAGTTGATTTAGCCTGTTCTCCATACTGAACCATCTTTTGTCACCCACCCCTATACTGATCCACGTAAAGCCATTACTTTAGACCAGCTTATAGTGCTGTAAACCCAACAAACAGCACATGCTTATCTCTGATTTGTATTATTTTTTCTTGCAGTTTCATTTCATTTCATTTCATTATGAGGAGCCTAGTTTTCCTTCAAACCTTCATTTGCACCCTGCCTATGGCTCTTAAAAATCTTTAGTTGTTAAACTAAACTTCCTTTGCAGTGGATGTGTCTACACAAGATG